GAATGAGTGAAGCCGGCTACAACGCGGCGTCGATGCCGCGGCAGGTAATACTAACTAGAAAAGCGTAACTTGTCTTCGTCAAGAACCCTTTAAAAATTTCCCTCTCTTCACCCCACCAACTCATGAGAGGACTAGCACTCATTACTGTCTTGTTAGAGACAAGTGTACGCTTTTCTGGGGTTGTGGCCGCAAAAAATGCGACTCAGTGGACACCCATCGACCGGTTACAAGCGGCCCAACTGTCATTTTGGTCTCGCCATTCGAAGTGGGGAATTACGTATTGAAGATGAAGGATTCGAAAAAAATGATAATAAAGTGATAATTCCGCCGAGTTCGTACATAAATACAGGTCTAACGAGTCTGCCACTGGAAAACTCTTCGTTTTATCAGTTTTTATGGATTTTCCCGCTCATCAGAGTAGCCATGTGAATCGCCTGACTCACGAGCTTGACTCCCTGGGAAGTCACGTGTTTGTTATGCCCCTCCTAAGTATGCAGTATTCCTGTGAGTACTAGTACTTATTTATCCTTGCTTTTTCTTTTCTTTCTTTGTTGTTTGTTTTTCTATATAGTCGTTGCTAAGATTCTGCTAATCTGCCTTTAGTGTATCGCGCCAATTGAGCGCATTAAATAAGTAAAACAATATTCGCGTCCTTGAAGTATTCAAGACCGTACCACTGAATCCACAATTCTTGCATTTTCCACTTCCACTTTTCGGAATCGATCCACAGCCCAATCGATGCTCCTTCGATTATCGCATGACTCAGGAACAGCGTTCCACCTGAATCGCAGCGAAATTACACATGGATATATTTTGAGATAATTGTTGGCCGACAGTAATGTAGTGGTTAGTGGCCCCGCCACAAAGCTTTCTACCCTTCGGAGACGGTAATGTGGTACCAGAGGATAAAATATTGGACTTTAGTCAGCTTTTCTCCTCATAAGTCGTTGTATAGGCCACATCGCCTTCAATAAAGGACTACAAAACTGGATAGAAGTAGGCCATCCCAAAAGGGGATTGATGAACGATTAGAGCTTTAACCCTCGTCCCTTCATACCGGGCCACATAGTACATTTCCTTCACGATGAACTAACACCCCACCACATAAACGACTCACCTGGTTTGACCACCAAACCTCGCCATGTCGATTCACCAAACAGTCGAATAGGTCTATCAGCTGTACCGTTGAGATAGAGTTTACCTATAGAGCGAGGATTATATGGCTCATTTTAGTAGTTATACGAGATACGTTGTGTAAAAAGCAAAAGTTAACCAAAGGGTGTCTTGTCCAGCTGCAGACCTTTTTCCTGAACAGTAATACCGATGCCGGGGGCGAAGTCGAATTGAGTCCCAGGATCGACGATGACTATTTGGCCCGGATGAACGGTCACCTCTGAGCTGACACTGTAAAGATGAGATTTTATCAAAAGTTTTAACATCCTTCCAAGACATAAACATTTGATTCATTCAATAGTTCCTGATCGGGGAAATCAGATGTGTGAGATGCTTGACTTACCCTTTATGAGATGCGCCACGCATTTGACTTTCACCCAGAATCATAGCACCTTGAAACATGGTAGCTTCATAGGAGCTTGAGCAGTCCAACAAGATTCAGTCGCCTAGCTCAGAGGACTCTCTGATACCGAACACGGTGCTATGCGCAGATGTTTCCTTGAACGCTTCCATCGCTTAGCACAGTGCTTGCAGCAGGGTCAGGCATCTTTCTAACGATTCCCCAACGAGGGGCCATACGTAGTTGGCTGGAAGGGGTCATATTTGCAGGAAGCAGTAGTCAGTAGTCCCCGAGGTGCTTACGACTAGGTCTAAGAAGAGGTCGAGTGCGTGGCGCACCTCATGACTAAAGAAACCACTCCTTCAACTCGATGTATCCGCTTGTGTGTCCTCTGCTATGTTCCCCACGAAGTGTTCTAGAGGTTCTGAAAGAGCTGTAAGTTAGCAGATGGAATCTCCACGCTCAAAAATGAGGTAGGAATGCTCCCTCCTTCCTCTTTCCACCCTATTCCTCGGTTTTTTATGCTGGGGAAATATTCGATGCTGGAGAAAGGTTTCCGCACCTCGTGAATTCTATGGTTCACCCACTCAGAGTTTCTTCCCATGTTAGTAAAGTGTAAATATTACCTCACCTGTATGGCTGTGGTCTGGCTTGCACTTGATTGTAGGTGTTCTCAAATGGCCTGAGCACCGTTTCCGCTGTCACTGGTGTAGCTGTGGTTGTTCGAATAAGTCCTACTACACGCTGCGGCGACAGTGGTTCCGCTAGCGCCTTCGGTTTGGCCAGAACTGAATCTGCCGTGGGAAGGACGTATGCCTTTTCGTATTTCTTTCGAGTCAGCTTCAAAGACCTCGTAGTTCAACGAACGATTCAGAGCACAGATTTTCGGAAGAAACTAAATCAGAGCAAGCCTCACATAATCGCCAAAATGAACATGAACAGAACAAACTAGGGGCTTACGTCCGTCTCGTTTTGATGGCCCCAGTAGTTCGCCACGGTATCCGCATGAATGGGTGCAGCCCTGGTTATCTCGCAAGACGACTGAAAAGTACGCATATCGGGAGAAATCACAAAAGATATTATCCACGATCTATCCGTGCCGAAGATAGGGCGTGTCAAAGAGTGTTAGTTGGAGCGCACCCAAGAAAAGCCTTTCTCACCAGTCCTTGTAACTCAATGGCATTACTGGTGGAAGGGACCGCCTTGACGGCACTCCAATCCTCGCCCCGTCACACACCCTATCGTTTATGGCGATTATGTCTGTATTTTTACCAAGACCATCTTACCTGTATATTATTGAAATAGTTTCCCCTGACGACAGCTCTAGGTACATCCAAATCGAGCACCGAACGAGCGAGATTTCCCGTGAAATCGTTTTTTTCTATGAGAACTGGCACTGATTTACCTGGAAGATGAATTCGTGGACTTGAGTCGTGCATATCGGAAAACTGCTTATGAAAAGCAGGAGCAGCTACTCGTCATCAGTCGACTCAATGGGGGCGTGTCAGCGGCTCTTGCGTGTGAGCGCGTCGCTGACCCTTTTCCGACCACTCATTGAGCGTTCGAAACCGCTACGATCGATGGAAAAACAAGAAACGCAGCGCCAACCCCTGACACGCCCCGATAACTCGCCAGTGAATATCTGAGTGCATAGGCCCTCTTCTTAACGCGTACTTAAGTCATTGCCTCGACGCGAGTCTGAATCCGCTGCCGACCGGCGTGATAACCTAGGGGATGCTAGAGATAGGCTGATTCGCGGCTGGCAGATTCTCATGGCGAAGCTCTTTCGCGAGCTATTCAGAGCCGTTACTGTCTCTTGTGATGGAGCTCTGTACTGTGCCCACGTTCACTTACACTTCTATGGCAGGCAAAAGGAAATTTCAGCGGTCGGCTGTATGTTCTGTTGAGCCGTTCCCTCGACTTCACAAATACAACCGCTATTGACGCGTCAAGTGGAAGGGTTCCTGAATACGTACTCTTGACGTGGCGCCAGCTCGTTCCCACCAGTCGTTGCCACTATGGACGCCTCCATCAGAGGCTCCAATAAGCAGTTTACGTCCTCGTCGCCGCGCTCGCAGCTTCGTACCAGGAAAAACCCCTTTCCGTCCTTAGGTATGAAATCTAGTTGTTATGACCAACGATACAGCCTGTGCCATAGAGAGGTTCGAGCCATTCCATGCGACGACCTTATTTTGGGGATAGGGAATTAAGGGAGAATAATAGGAATAGGAGAAGAATAAAAGGAGATAATGGTGTGACGAACCTCCAAGATGTCGTAGTTCCACCATATTGTTCATAGCGTTTCTGTTCGAAGCGGTTTTTGATTATGTGAACTTTTTTGCCCTGAAATATAGTTTACTTCAGACCCACAGTGAGAAATGGATCCCAAACGGTGTGAAGATTGTTGTTTGATTTGTTCACCTAAAATGTTCCGCAGAGTAGGTTTATCGATTCTTGAGCAGAATGACCTCCTCCACAAATGGGATTCAATCGCGCACCTATTTCCCGGAAGCTATACCTCGAGGTTCACTGCATATAAGGCTAACCGGACCATCAGGTATGTAAGACTATGCCACAAAGGCTATTGAACTGAGGGGGTAACAGCCGCACAGGTGGCGCAACGGTGAGCGTACCCGCCAGGGAAGCTTAACGCGAAAGTTCAATCCCGCCTGGGGCCAGGATTCTGCCCTTTCTTATGCTTCCATCACAGATTGTAGCACACCCAGTGTTTCCCCCTAGATTGTAGCGCCAAAATTCCGACATGGGATTTCACGAATCAGACTGAGAAAGCTCGCAAACCAAGGGGGTGCAGGTCAGAGAATCTGACTCAGGGCGATAGGCAGGAGCTAGGACGGTACATATCGAAATCTCTTACAGTGCTAGTCTTGCCGTTAATTGTTCCGTGTTTTTTCAAGAGACGACCGCCCTGAAAAATCCTTCTTCTATTAAGCCCCTCCCCCTACTCCTCCATAACTATCCTACCTACCGACTTCTCAACTTCGTGAATCTTCCCAAAGGACTACCCCTTCTTCTGAGCGTTTCCTGGAAATTCCCTATATCTTTCATTAAAAAAACCTCCATCGAGCGGGCGGGGGTGGGAGGGGGAGGGGGAAGGGGGGTGAAGGGTATAAATGCGCGTAAAACAAGAATTCTTAAGAGCAGTAAAGAACCGAGGGCGTTGTTCACAAAGGCTAATGTGATCTCCATCTTCTTCGCTCCAGCTAAATGAGACCCACCCCCCCCCCGCCTTCCCCTTTATGGGCATGCTCAACGTGCGACGTGACCTGGTTCCTCAGCAAGCTGAGTCGGTGCTGTCCACCTGCTGCGTTAAAATGATTGGGTCCGGTGCGAAGGTTGCAAACGCGACACCACCACGCTTGCTCCTCGCCGCCGCAACTCGGACCTCCTGGCCGGCAACCATTTTTGTCATGCCAAGTCCAAAAAACAGATCGACTAACAGCGTGCATAGACTTACTAGAAAGTCTGTTTAACATTTTACCTTGTCACAACGCAATAACAAACCTGTGGTTTCCACAAAATTGGCAAGTTTGATGACAGCTTCATGGTCACCGAAATCATTGAGATGGTTCGCTGTGAAGGCATTTCCTCGGATGAGAACGGCACTGTCACGTAGCAACGAGACGAAGAAGGTAGATCCTCTGTTTTGAGTGAAATTCGAGTTTAAAATTGAAATCTGAAGGCAGATCTTGCTTGGGGGCCTACAGTACTATATAATATTTCCTTTTGGAATTTCCACTAACCGTACTGTTTATGGTAGCACCCTCAAAGATGATACCGTGGTTGAAATTGTCCTCTATTAGGCAGCGACTCATCTTGAAATATAGATTGGTGGCATTTTCCAAGATGAACCGCTGCTCCGTAATAGTGGCCGGTCACGTTGACGTTTGTGATCTGGAATTCCTTGAATTACGCTCACATCTGACTCGAGTCCAGCGCAGAGCCGTAAATTCAACAATTGATGGCCATTTCATGATATTTCAGCCATGATTTTTGGACGAAAGGCGGGCTTTAAAGTTCAGTGGAAAGAGAAGGTGCCAATGAGGCAAGTTCGCACTTTGGTGCCTTTTCCTTACAATTTTCTGCGGTGCGCAATTGCCCATTCTTAGTCACTGTGTTGTTCCCACACAACTTTTTCCATTGTTATGGGTCCTCGTGGATCATCCCTCCAAATATCAGGTGGGGGAATTGACCATCCAAATATCAGCTGGGCTAATGCTGTTCAGAGAGACAACTCTAACATACTCAAAAGCACTGCCCCAAGTCAGGGCACATCATTGGTTGGGGATTCCAGTTGAATCCGCACGATCCCCCCTCCCCTTTTTTTTTTTGGGGGGGGGGGGGGTAGGACGCCCTCTCTCCTTGCCCTCATGTTCCCCTTCCTCATCGAATCAAGCCGTCGAGCGGGATGGGGGAGGGGCAGGGGTAAATAGCACATGTGAAACAGGAAAAGCCGCGAGACAATACGACCCCCCCCCCCGAAAGCAACGTCAGGTGATGGCGGCAAGGTCAAACTATTAAGAATAAGCCACGCCCCCTCCTGCGCTGAGTTAAATACGACCCCCTGTTGGGGGATTCCCCAACAACGATGCGCCCTGCCCCACCTACATCCAATTTCTCACTATTTTAGAAAGCGTTCATACTTTGCGAAGGCAGCGCTTCTGTCGCTCGATGCAGTCGAGGGAACACGCATCGATCGCGCCTGACGCGCTACCGAAGCGCTACCGCCGCGAAGTCTGAACACACAATTGGTAGTCTTTCAATAAGCCCCTACCTCAGCACTTAGCTTTTTCCGTGATCCCTTCCACGTCTCGAATCGAATGCCACTCGCTCCATTTGAACTGGAGGCGGACTTCTCAATACGTATTGAAGAAGCAGCTTCGGTTAGAATGATACCATGGTGACCATTTGGAAAAAGGCGATGGAGTCCAAAATGGAAACGTTTGCCGGCAGTTTCGATGTGAAAGCCGCTCCCACGATTTGATGCCGACAGACACGAATCCATCCAGACATCGCCCTGTAAAAGTAATATTAAATACTATTGAAAACTTGTATCACACATAATCAATCCAGTGTTTGGTGTCCACTAAAGTGCCAGGTATTTCCTCCCGAATGCAACACTTATCACTGATTTCAGCAAGGACGTGGCGCGGCGCCAACCCCTTTCTCACCACTCACTGAATGCCCAAAGGAGCAATGGGTGATGGCAACCGAGCTGACCACGCCCAAAACCCTAGCCCCGCCTACGTGTCTCGACTGACTTCGACTTTTTGGCGACCGCAGCGGATTCCGCTGTGCGCGATTCATATGTGTCAAACTACACCCGCCGTCCCGGAAAGCAGCTTTACCTGGAAGTATTTCTACGTTAATAACCGAAAACCTTACTGAATCTGCGTTTTGCTTTGTGACTCGGCTAGAAGGATAAGAACAGCAGCTAGGCCAAATCCTCAGCTTCCCAGTGAAAGTAAAGTTTTGTGGCGCGCCATCCACAGCGAAACGGTTTTCTTTTAACTCCAAGGTGCAATTCATTCCCACAAATTGGCATTCTGGTAACGGAGGCCAAGAGAAGCCTCAGAACGGGAAATCTAATAAGAAATCCAAACGTGCTAAAAAAGGTCATGCAGACTCTTCTGTCCCTTTTTCATCATATCATTATTCCTCTTTTAGACAATTGCGTTACAGGGAACTTCTATGGCAAGGCTAGCATCATCATCAAGAACCTCATAATTACAGTAACTATTAGTTTGTCGAGCTGCTAAAGGCCCTTGGTAAGGGTTGGGCGAAAAGTGCAAGGCAATTTAGTGAAGAAGCAAAAGCGTGTAGTTCGCTCCGGTGGGGGCACTGAATGGTACTGAGCGTAGTACTCCAACCTTGGTGAAGACCTGCTCAAATTTGTTAAACAATAGTGTCTCAGTTGAGTCTTTTTTCGCAGTTTCCCCAGCATAGTTCAACCTAAGTGTGGAATCTGTCAATTAACATGAGCTACTCAAAGGAATTAGCACACCTGCAATATGCCCATCCCAAGCCGGATAGGAAAAGGTTGAGAGAACAGAAGTAAGCTGGGAGAAAGCACACCCAACCGTACCCGAAATTAAAGAGAACTACATAAATTCTGCAGTATGGTGAAAAATAAAACACACATGCCGTTATAATTTTACAATGGCCAGCACAGCGTATGAATCACCCCAAACACGCTGAGGATGTCACCAGTACGCGCTTCTTCATTCCCGCCTTCCTTGCGTCCCTTTTTGTTCCTCCTCTCTCCCCCCCCCAAGCCTTTTAACACGACATTTGGCGCCATTAGCTGCTACCTATTCGTGGCGAGGACTCTCGCGGACTGTTTCGGTGATGGAATCCATCTGGTCGTCGTGCAAATGAGTTTGGTTCCTCACAAAAATTTTTGGTTTTCAAAACAGCGGGGTTGCCTTATTCGACTGACAGGCCGGAACGATGCCTTCCAAAGTGCGCTGTTTCCTGTTTTGGAAAGGATATTGGGCAACTTGGGGTCGATGGAGGGTATCCACGCCAAGTAAAAACTAATTTAGCTGGACAGTCGATGCCATATTGTCTATTGAACAGGTTGAGAAAAGTGCAAATTCATGAATAACTGGGTAGAAAATCATGGAATTGTTTCTCAGCATTTGAATAAAATGCATGTTGACTGTTGTTTATTCCCTGGACTACGGGACACTAGGAAGCTAGAGGCACTGGACCCGTGCCATTCCCACGGCACGTTATAAGATCACATGGGATTTATGCGTTCTTTTCCTTGACGGAAAGATTTCAGACCTAGGGGAATCCTAACCCCCAGGTTCGGCTATTCGAAATCTTCGAATTTCTCTGTAGACCCAATGTAATTCAGGTTCTGTGTTCCCTGCTCAAATCAGAAGGAAACCCGGCACAAGTTTCGACTGGCACAGCATATGATATTATGTCGTTACCCGCCACTCCCTTTCCCAATTGAAGTTCGTCCGCAGCGTGACCCTTTCTTACCAGCCAACTTGCAGTTTTGCCATACATTTCAGCTGCGGTCGGGCGGAGAGAGATGGCGTGTTCCTTATTAGGGAGACTCCTCTATCTTCTCCGCTGCAGTCTTGATTCGTGTGGTGATTTTGGTCCAGTCCAGTCCTCCCCATCCCTTCTTTCAAACGGTTGCCCTCTGCGAACGAGCCCCCGCTCCCCTTCCTCATAAAGCTGTCGAGCGGGGGAGTATACCACATGTGGAACGGGAAACGGCAAGTAAAACACGACTCTTTTCATACCCATAACCCAACCCTAGCTACCACTTTCTACCAGTTTCTCCAGATTTGCCCAGGTTTCACGTGAGATAGTTGTGTGTGATGAAATTCTGACTGCTGTGAGGATAGAGAGAGGAAAAGGGGCTCCCTATAAATATTACATATGAAACAGGACAAATACGAAGAGTCAATAACCTCTCTGAGAGGACCAAAAGGCAAATACGACCGCGCCCCCCTTATTAGCGACCAGGTTGCCGAACTAAGATTGCGCGGTTCTTAACAACGCAAGGTGTCCCCTCTAGGCATGACGTTTAATAGCTTTGCGTCACTAGCGTTCCCTAGCGTCACCAGCGTACGCTAGCGTGCCGCTGGCGTAGCGAGGGCACGGGAAGCATAGCTATCGATCTAGCTTCACCAGCGTTTCTCCAGCGTTTTCCCAGCGCTTGCAGCGACGGGGCTAGAGAGGGGCTAGAGAGTATTGAAGGTAGGAGAGTATTTTGTACTCTCCTATGCTACAGTCCCGTCTCTCCTTATTAGTCTCTATTAGCTACGATCCGGACTAGTGGAAGCAGTAGGTATGACAGGAGTAAGGAGGGGTCTCAGTTCGGGCGCATGTTTTTCTGCTGTTTTCATCACAGTTGCAACAGCACATGGTGGTTCACGTAGTGAGTATAGTCATCATTTTGCCAACGTTCCCCCTGGCCCCATTCGAAACTAACGTCCCCCTGGCCCCATTCGAAACTATCTCCCCGACGCTTTGCTCTACCCGCACCACCCTGCATGCGACACCTATTTCGCCCACGACATTTCACAAAAAAATTTGAAGAGACGCCCACTCCCTCTTCGTCCTACCACTTATTTTGAGCTTTCCCATCTCTCTACCACTTTTCAGCTTCTCAAATGAAATTTCGAGTTTTCCTCCTCCTCCCTCTTGCTATCAAGGAGGGAGGATTGGAGGGGGCGAGGAGGATCGGGGATCGTCACGAAACAATTACTGAGTACAACTACCAGAAATAGTATTTATAAAGGTCCTTGACACATACCCGCATAATTTTACAATGGAGCACAGGTCTTGATCACCCAAAACACTTGAAGTCACCAGTAAGCCTCTTCATCCCGTCCTTCCCTGGTCTCTTTTTGTTCCTTCCCTTCCCCCAAGCCTTTTAAACTCTAAAATGTTCTGCTATGAGCAGTGTCACTATTCGAAATGCATAGAGAGTTTTCGGGACTGTTTTCGGTAATGAAGTATTGTCAGCGGCATGTTACAGTTTGGTTTCTCACAAAATTTTTTTATTCTTGAACAGCTGGACGGCGCAGTTTGTCGACGGGGGGGCATTTGCACTTTCGTTGCTTCACTAGTTCTGGTTTACAAGTCTCACTCTGGTGAAACCTGTGAACTCTTGTGAAGCTGGAGCAAGCTCGTCAAGCCATCATGGTAAAACCTGTCAACTCGAGAAGAGGCTGTCTAGATGGGTCGACACGTCGATGGGAAGTCGTTAAAGTGCAAAATGTCCCTTCCCCCCCTCTCCAATTTCTCTATAGACCCGATGAAGTTTAGACTAGGGCACAGCATCCATGATATATGTCCCCCACCTCCTCTCCTCCCAATGAAGTCGTCCGGCATGACCCGCTCTTACAACCAACTTGCCATTTTGACAACATTTCAGCTGCGTCCGGGTGGGGAGCAGTAGGAGTATCCTATTAAGAGAGGCCATGACCATTGCGCATCTGGTTGGGGATTTTGGTCTAGTCCTACAACCCCTCCCCATTCTTTCAAACGGTTGATACGAGCCCACTACCCTTTCTCATAAAGCTGTCGAGCGAAGGTGTATACCACATGTGGAACGGGAAACGGCAAGTA